AAATTAAATGGTTGAAGTGGCATTAAAAAAGAATTTGCTGTTATCGACTGCAGGAATGTGGGACGATTAGTAGTTATTAGGCATCAGGGAAGGCCAGAATTTCTTACCTTGTTTTTATCTTCAGAAGCTGAATATGAGAAAATGAGATGTAGGAATTCCATTAAAATATCTCATACTGTTTTTTCTATTTATTTTTAACAAAACCACTGCTTAGCTTGCCATCTTAAGAAGAAAATTGCAGCATTTTTTTATCTCAAGCAGCAAACAGGTAACCTTCTGACCTTTTCAGTAAATCCTCAACTGAAGCTCTGAAATTAGGGTGTTTTACCATTTTATGGCACAGAATAAAAATCTCTAATTCTGTTTCCAAATAGTGTATCCTGAACACACATTTTATTAAGCTCTTGACTCATTCAGCCATGTGTATTTTGTAAAGTTCCTATGGTTATTGTTTTACAATAGCTGCTTCCAGAAGCATTGTAAGGGTTTCAATTAATCAGCTCTTTGTGTGCTTCAGACTATGCAAATTTATCACATCAGACCATTCAGCAGCTCATGGGAAAGCAGTGTACAAACTGTATTGTCTTCTAGCACCTCCTCTCATTTAGAGTGATGTTTTTAATAAGAAAACTAATCAAGTTTACTTATGCATTATTTATCTGTTAATTTTAATTCTGTTCTTTACCTCTTATGTCAAATGGGATGTAGCAAGTGATATGATAGATCAGTGAATGATTCAGTATTGAACAAAGCTTATGTGATGCAGCACTTCTTTTCTTCTGGACTTGTTTTATGCTTAGTTAGCCAATGCAGCATGTAATAAGAGAGTTTTGCAGCCGATGTTCGATTTTTGTTTAACCTTATTAATTTTTGCAAATCTCTTTGTCGCTTGTCCGCCATATATGGCACTGTGTTATAACTACAACTTAATTACATGACATAGTCTTACTTCTCAGGAGAATTTCCAAATTCGGGCAGAACTGGTAAATCTCACATAGATGCCTATCAAGTTAGTTTTAGCTCTTTTACCACCATATCATTAGAATAAGTAAACAAGCACATTTAGTAATGCGCTTCGTTTTATCTTGCTGATAGAAGCTGGTATTACTGCTGCTTCTATTCACTTGGTCTCCTTTGCTTTCTAATGTCCCTCCTGCTGGTAGTAATTAGTTTTCTATATTAGGTTGTTTTGACTTATTTGATGATTTCTTTTTTCTTTTTTTTTTTTTTTTTCCCATTTGGCATGTGTGTGTGTGGAAAGCATCGTACCAGCCTGGCGAAAAACTTTCCCATACTGTTGTGTTTTGCCCCTGCCCCTTCCCTGCCGTTCCCCTTCCCCCTCCCTGCCAAACTGCTGTTTTACAAGTCAGCGTATGTTCGCGTTTGTCAGCAAACTGTAGCGACAGCCGCATAAAAGATAACAATTCTGGAAAGCGGAATTTCCCCTGGTTAGGAAAAAAACCAAACCCAACAACTTCTTACAGGACAAAAGTATGAGGGCGAGGAGGAGATCTTCATGCTTCGTCGGGGCCTAGTGGAGGTCCGCGGGCGTTGAGATGCGCCGGGGCTGGATGCAGATCGCTGTGTGTGAGGATGGGGCCATCGTGCATAGTCAGAGGGGCTTTCATTTCCTGGCTGCCATACAATAGCATTGAAAAACACTGCCAATGGCTGGTTTATACTTGCATGTTAAACCGCTCTAGATGTCTGATTTAAGTTTTTTCTAATTTGAACTGTTATCGTTGCAGTAAACTGCCATGCTTATTAATCCACTTCTTTTTTTCCTCCTTTTTGAGGGATATCGTGAAAGAATTTATTAGCATTTTCAATGATTTTCCCTTTAAGGCGACGTTATAAAATTGATGTACAAAGTTTTGGGGTTTTTTTCTAGAATTTGTTCGTCAATTGAAATGAGATGTAGCAAGCTGCTGGATGCTTTCTTGCTCAGACTTGTTAGTCCATATTAAAGAAACATTTTGGTTTTCATTCTCTCTGCAGCCTTTTCTGGTTGTTGATTTTTGATTATGGTTCTAGATGGGAACCCCAGAGTATAGAGGTGAGAGCAGATTTAGACCCATCACAGCACAGCATTTCGTCTGAAATTGTATTGCTAAGTTTCAAATGCAGCATATGAAAACTGTGAGAGAAAGAGAAGTGAATGAAACCAAATTATTGCGTACATCTTGTATGAATGCTGGGGGTCAATTTTCATGCGATGTCTAAATGAGTAACAGTTAGGAAATGTTACAACTTATAAGTGCCGCAGAGCAAAGTTACCTACCAGTCTGAGTGTGTCCTGTTTATGAATATTGTATGGGGAATAGTTGGGCCACTCAGTTGTGAAGTGCAAAGCAGCATTTGGAACTCGAGGTTCTCTTAAATCCAGCCTTTTTTCTCCTTTACTGGTTTATTAGCCATTTACTGGTTTTATTAGTCACAAGTGATAATTCCACTCACATGGATTAATTCACTTGATCACTTTTTTCTGCTTTGCTGGACAAAGCAGAACTGCTTGGCTTGCCTTTCGCTGCCCTGCTGCAATCAGCAGCTGGGCATGAAAAAGAGACCAAACGCAGGCCTGCAAGCATCAGGCTCTTAAAGAGCTTGCAAAGGCAAGTGATTTCAGTATAAAATCAGGTTTACGTTTTGAAATGAATTGCAGTTGCTTGCTTTTAGAAGTAGTGTTGTGTGTAGGAAAGGTATCTTTCAACTTTTTTAAAGTTTTTTGTGAGAAAGAATGAACTTTTGTAAAATGGAATAGGGGAAAAAGCTTCTCTCTGTACTGTTCTCTAAAACATGGACATGCTATAGATCTGTTACAAACTCACTGACTTCTTAAAAAAAGAAGCTTCTTAAAAAAGAAACTTAGAACTGAGGGTTTATAGCTTTCTCTTTTTTTTTCTTTCCCTTCTGTAAAAGACGAACTTTATAAATGGCCTAGTGAGCTTCACATTGCTGGATTCTGTCTAAATATTTTGTTTTTAACTTCTAAGCTCATTATGCTGCCTTTGTGTTAACTTGTATTAAAATCTGTCAGCTATGACTGGTCTCATAACCACAGTCAGCGGACCAGAATAAGTTAATTATTTACTTGTGTCACTAGTGCTCTTCATCTAATGAAATGCACAGCTGTGTTAGATCTGCAGTTGGGTGTGTAGGTCCCATTGTTATACAAGTCAGCGGAGGGTAGAAGCCGCTATGATGGAGAGCCCTCAGTTCTTTCTGCTGTTCTGCCTTTCTGTGTCGATTTCATGGATCTTTTATCATTCACTTTCACACAAAACAAACAACACAGTGGCTGTCTGCTATGGGAACCAGCTTGGCATATAAAAGGTTTTCAGAGCCTAAAGTAATTTTAAGTTAGCTAAGATTTAATTTTTGGCTTACAGGTGCTGTGATGTCCAGATGCAGCCTAATGCTTTCTTAGCAGTAAATGCGAATAAGGCAAAAAGTACGGGCCGTAACACGTCTGTAACAAAGTATTTATGAATACAAGTTTAGGATAAAAAAGCTGTGCGCACAAGAGATAGCGGGTTGTCTTTTATTTCATTTTCAGCAAACGATCACTGCCTGGCTTTGAGGAGTAGAAGGATGTTATTGATTTATCATAATAGAACAATGAAAACTAGTTTCAGTAGGTTTAAAAACTAAATACAACACACGCACACACCCCTTGCCCCAGACGTTCCAATCCTTTTTTATTCCTGCTCCCTTCCCCCACACTTACCATTCTCATTGCATTAACTACTGTCCCGTACACCTATCGCTGTCTTGCTTGGACAGCGGATGAGGAGCTCCCTCCTGAGCAGACGCCAATATCCCCCTGTGAACTGGCTGCTCGGGAGATGCCTTTTTAGGGATGTAACCAGCACCCTCAGTCTTCCAGAAGCCCCCTCCACCTCAGGACTGCTCCCAAAGCACGCTCTGGCAGTTGCAGCAGACTGATCTCAAATAGCTTGCAGACTTTTTCAGCTCTAAGGGCTTCTGGAAGAAATTGTCCAACTGAAACAGTAGCTTTGGTTCAAAGGAGCATGGGCTTAAGCAGCTGCGTTTTAGCACCTGAATTTGAATGTTAGATCTTTTGGTTATTTCTAGCTGCAGTGTTTTGATCTGCCAAATTCACTGTGGAAACAGTTGTAAGGGTTGGAAGGGAAATTTTGGGATGTGTGATAGTCTATTTCAAATGAGTTTTTAGGTTTCTGTTTAATCTTGCCCAAATAGTTTTAGAGTTTGGGGGAGTGTGCTTGTTTTTAATCCAATACTGATGGAGGCTGAAAAAACTTTTAAAGGTACAGTTTGTGTTTGGACTGACAAAATACAAGCAGTCCAAGGAGTGGATTGTACTTTGTAATTCGTCGAAAGCAGTCTTTGCTCAGCAAATGAATGCTACCTGAAAAAATCTTTTTCTTTTTTAATTTTACTTTACTTTCCCCTACTTATCTCCTCTCAGTCTCTGTGAAAGCCCTGGTTTGGTTTGGTTTTATTCACAGTATTTAGCAAAGATATATATGATAAACAAATTTCAAATCGATAATAAATGTCTAAAGAGATACTGTAAGAGGCCTAATTTTTATTGTTTTTTTACACAAAATTATAGCATCGACTTTAAAAACTAGGTCTCCCATGAGATATTCCAGTCTGACTGGTCAGAAGTTTCTGGTTGCCTCTGAAAACTGTATCTAAAACTTTCTTCCCTAATTTGCTAACTCACAAATCACTGGGAACATTATGTAAGGGTATGCTAATTTTGCCAGTCCTGTCACAAGGGCTCTCTTCTAGCCTGCAGGTTGTGAGCGCTGGTCATGGTAATGAATCTGGGTAAGAAGTGATCCATGAGAAAGAGTGGAGGAGGAAAACACTAAAGAAAATCTGGTGATGAGCGTCAGCCCTGCTGGTGGTTTGCTGTTGGTGAATTGAAATGTTTTCTCTTCTGCAGGGGTGTGTGGACTGATTGTTCCTCAGGAAGACATGCCATTTTGCGATACAGGAATCTGTCCAGATATCATAATGAACCCTCATGGCTTCCCATCGCGTATGACGGTTAGTGGCTGTGGTTACGATTAAAGAGACAGAGTCCCCCGATAGCGAAAGTGAAGTGGATTAGCCGTAAGAAACAAAAGAAAGAGTTTGAAACACGGTTTCACTGAGAATATTCTGTAGTCATCAAGCCACGCGCTTGCTCTCCTATAAGTGTTCAGCCCTGTGTTTTGCATGTTTTGAAACATCCTGCTGTAAAAGGGATAGGAATGTGGGCTCTTTGCGCATCATTCTCATTTTGTTCTGTATCAGGCTAATAGGAGAACAACTGAATACCTCACTTGCACGCTTTCTGTCTAAAAATTCTTATTCTCCGCCTTCTTTCTCTGTTGCCTACACCCGCTAAGTCGGCTGGCGCAGACTGTGAGGTGAAGGTTGGAGAGGAGTGTCACTTTCCACACCTGTATAACTACTTGCATTGCACATGCCTCTCTGGAACTGGTGCGAGCCTTGCACCTGTGCTGCAGGGTCACACGAAATACCGCAGAGCCCGGCCTTTCTGTGAGTCCTCCACTGATAACTTCGCACAGCCTCTGATCTTTCTTTCTTTGTTAGCTTCTTCCCTTCTGTTCCCCCTGCGGCACTGTAGCGTGTCGATCTCTGAGGCTGTTTCCTAGAGCAGAGGGCCGTGCTGGATCCTGCTCATTTTCCAGACAACTGGAAAAAATGGAGTTGCCTGGCTCTGAACCTTAAAGGTGTTCCCAGACCCTGCAATGAGTGTTGTTTTCTCCCCTTCACACAGGATTACTTTGTTTTCTTGAGATTCTTCCACTCCTCTCATTGCACGCCATAACCCAGGCTGCCCTCTCGAACACTTTGCCTGGCTGATGTACACTGTGACCAATCCAGCAATATGCCTGTACTAGTAAGCAGGCTGTTAACTCTGCTTTTCTTTGCACAGGTAGGAAAGTTAATTGAACTCCTGGCTGGAAAAGCTGGGGTCCTCGATGGCAGATTTCACTATGGAACAGCTTTTGGAGGCAGTAAAGTTAAGGATGTGTGTGAAGATCTAATTCGCCATGGTTATAACTACCTAGGGAAGGACTACGTAACATCTGGTATCACTGGGTAAGAATCTGCTGTATAGATTTAGGTGTTTCATTGGAGTGGGGAAATCCTATTGAGACACATCTGAAAAGTCTTCTTGTGTCTCAGAGCTTAAGAACTGTCTCTTACTTGCTGACTGCTCTGTGAGGTGGAGCCAGAGGGAGTAAAGAACAGTTGTTTCTTAGAAGCATTTTGGGAGTTCCATGTTTTAAGAATTACTAGTATTTGTGTGGCTGTAATGTGAATGGCCTTTGTAGCGCGTATGAAAATTTACCAATTTCTACTGCGTGACAAAAAAGGTAAAATCAAGGTTTTCTTTCTAAGAGATGGTAAGAAATTTCAGCTTTCTGTTGGCAGAAAATCTTACATGTGCCTGGAATCAGATAAGCATTTTCATATTGACTGTAATAGGACTGTAAAATATGGATTTGGAGGCAGGTGTCTGTTCCTTGGGAATATTTTGTGTGTGCTCTTTTTTTTTTCTTTTTTTTTTTCTTTTGATTACACAATGATTCAGTCTGGCATAATACTCTAATCTGCAAACTTCCTGCTGTGTTGATCGGACTGGCTTCTGAGACGCAGAGTTCAAAGAACGTAAGATAGTTTAGGAACAGGAAAAGGCCATATGGCTTCACATGCCTGGCCTTCCAAAATGTATCTTAATCCTACCTTCCTGCTATTTTCATTATCCTCCCAGTCCTTTCTTCTCAAGGAACAAGTTTAGGTCTCTTTTGTAAGTTGTTTTTTTTCCAATACTTTTGTATTTTAATTGTTTTTCCTACCAACTTATTCCATATGTTGTTTCTTTTTCTGTTTCAGAGAGATGATTTTGTTTTCCTTACCCACTCCATATTTCATAAATTGTGTATCAAGCATCCTGGTGTTTGAAACACCTTCTGCTGATACATCATGATAACTTTTAAGAAGTCTGACTAATTTTGTTTTCTAGGGAGAGTGAAATCCTCTGGCTCTACAAATCTCACGTCCCCAAACTTGAGCTTTGTAGTACCCTTTTTAGAGACTTTATGATACTGATATTCTTCCAAGCAAATTTCACATGCTTAATCTATTTGTTATGAAGTTGGAAGGCAGATTTCATAACAATGTGGAAATTTGCGAATTCCAAATGTCTAGTTAAGTTTTAGTATTTTCCTCAATAGGCAGCTTTTAGAATAACCCTGAATCGTGTCAGTAATGACTCTGAATGGGAGGTGCAGTACTGTTTTCTTCTGCATGATTTTACATTGCACATCTATTTTTTTAAAAATAAGTCAGTGGTGGTGCTGAGTTTGTCTTAAATGTGGTTGTTCTTAGTTCTGAAGGTGGTAGCTGGGAAATGACTGAGTGATTTCAACTATTGCTTTCTGATCTTGAGGCCCTTGTGCTGTTCTTACAGTTGGCAGTGTTTTAAACGCAGGAATCCAGCTTGTAGAATGGAGCAATGCCCTCTGTCCTGCTTACAGATGTTCCCAAGCTGATGCAAGTGCCTGAATACAGTTCTCAAGAGCCCTTTTACCCAGCTCATCTGAGCCCCCAGTGCCAGCCAGGGCAGTGGTGCTTGTCCTACGGGTACAGCTGCAAAGCAGTGGTCATGGTAGCATTGGGTTGACGGTTGGACTTGATGATCTTAGAGGTCTTTTCCAACCTTTATGATTCTATGCCAGCACAGCCGTGCTGATGCACATCTGCTCATGGAGGGCTTTCACCCAGCTGGGTCTTGGGTTGTGCTTCGAAGTGGTCTGGCAAGTTTAGTCTTGTGTCGGCCACTGATGACACTGTTGAAACACTCCTGCACAGGCAGAGGAAGGACTTAATGTGGGCTTAGCTCTAGCAGCATGTCTGCGGGGCCAGAGTTCGAGAGCTTCTTCCTCACTGGGGTGGATGCTGCAGTGTGTGGTGCTGGAAGTGTGGTCAGAAGGGTTCCCTGTGGGGTTTCCAGACTGATTGCCCTGAAAGCACAAAGACGTTTTTCTAGAACTCATGATTCCCAAATTTTTTCAAATTCCTCCTGTACACAACACTCTTGTGTCTCTTAACATAAGTCTGTGCTAACTGTGAATATTGATTCTGGTTTGGTTTTTATTCCTTCAGGGAACCTTTGGAAGCTTATATCTATTTTGGCCCTGTGTATTACCAGAAACTAAAGCACATGGTGTTGGATAAAATGCATGCAAGAGCTCGAGGACCCAGAGCAGTGCTCACCAGGTATTGTTACAGCCTAAGCACAAAATTCTTGTCTACATTTGGAAGTGTGCCCAGTTGACTGATGAATGTAAAACAAAGTTTGCTTACTTTTTTTTTTTTTTAAAAAAAAATGCTATTACCTGTCAATACACTGTTACAGGCTAAAAGCTCTCACAGTAGACTGTGGCAGGAGGTTGTTCTGAATGTCCAGTTGTACTCTTTTTGGTCCAAAACTGACTTTCTTTTTAGGCTTCTTAGCAGTTGGTAAAAATACCATCTGCACAGTGCACAGTGTGGCCCTTTCCTCTCAGATTGCCCATATTGTAGGTATTTTAGGAGCATTTTTTTTGTTCTTTGCATCCTGATACACTGCACTTTGCCTTACAGGCTCTTCCATTCAACTCTAAAACTGAATTTAGGGTTGTATATATGTTGTCCACAGTTACTATTTAGCACTGTCCAGGAGAATAGCACTTTCGCACTAATAAATTGCAAAAGTTACAGAGATGCCAAGAGTAAATTTCCATTTTTAATTGCCTGGTTGAAGATACATACTCAGTTTCTTTGCAGCTGTGATTGCCGCACTAAGCCTGAACTCAGTTTTCTCTACAACAAAAAGGTTAATTACCATGTCGGTGTCTTCTGGTGTCAGATTTTGAAATCAAGTAGATCTACTCTGAGTAATAGGTACTATAAGTCCCTGGAGGTGGGCTTATATTATCTGGACCTTTGGGGAATTTGAAGCACCCTGCTTTCACTGATGTTACTTACTTTTTCTCCTTAAAGCCAAGCTCTATGGCTGCTTGCACTCACATGTTAAATTGTTGATATTCCTGGCTCACAAGAAACAGTTCAGTGGCACAGGCTTTGCTCTGAGGAGGCTTCTAGAGGATCATTTAGTTCACATCTCTCGATCACAGTAGATTTATTTGCTAAATCTTGCTAGAAAGTTAATTCCCAGCTAGTCTTGAATATTTTAGCAAAGATTATTCCATATGTCTTTTGCCATATCATTTATGTCATTTATATGTCACTTGCTTCGTTTGAAAAGTCCCTTCAGTACTATTTTTGAGATGCAGTCACAAAGTCATGTCTTTCGTGCCCTTACTCTTCCCTGTAACAACTGTGACTCATATTCTTTAATTCTTAATTTATTTTTGTACCTCTTGTGATGTGCTGACCCACTTCTCTTGCCTTGCCCGACTGCACCACAAGCTACCAAGTTTGTCCTCTTAATACCTACAACTACTGCCTGTCCATGTGCTGGCAGACAGTGGAGGGCCAGGTCTCTGCTCTACCTGATACAACAGTATCTTTCTCTTCTGATTTTCATTGCATTTTGGCTTTCTAACCTCATGCTGTCTCTAGAACAAACTGCAGTTTTCTCACACTTTCCATGGAAGTGAATATCAGCAGCTGAACTGGGAGAGAGATCGCAAGAAGTTTTTGTAACACTTGGCTGAACTTTTTTGCCAACCACATTAAGAAGAACAAGTGTAGCATAACCATTATTTCCTACCACAGCTGCTTCCCTATATGAACCTAAGTGATATTCCCAAATAATGGGCTGTCTGCTCCGTTTTCTGTTCTTCAGCATGTTAGTCACAGTATTAGTGTTCCACGTGAAAATGAAAACTCGCTGTCTTAGCTAACAGTGCACACAGTTGGTTTACTGGAGCTCCTAGCTTACCCAAATCCCTTGACCGATTTTTGTATTGTCTCCTCAACTTCTCAGCTGTTTAGAGATACTGAATTTAAAGGAAACCTAAATCTCAAGTCAAGGTAATATTTACATGTGAAGATGAAGGTGATGTGATTTCCTTCACCTCTTACTTTCTTTGAATTCTTTGTTCAGTCAGTAGCATCATGCTACGTGGCTAGGGCTCTTTATTCGACTTTCAGGAAAGCTAGTGGATGTTCAGTTTATACTGCCTCTTGATTAGTCTTTTAGGAATTTTCTTTTTTCTCCTCAACTAATTAAACTTTTGTTATTGCCATTGCTTCTGCTGAAAGGGTCTGCTTTGCCAGCTTTCATACTCAACTATTGTTTTATCATCCATTGCACTTCATGGAGAGTAGATTGCCTCCAACATTGTTTTTTGCTTTTAAAAGTAATTCCATAACAGCTTCCAACGTGGAATTTAGCTCTTATTGTCTTGAAATGCATATTTTATGTATCAAATATATCTTAACTGACAAAACAAAACTATATTTCCATCTGAAGCAAGACAGAAGGCTTGAGTTTCCTGAACATCAGAGATTCTAGATATTACTGTGATTAAAACAGGACTTTGTAGAATTACAAAGCAGCACTCTTTGTCAGCACAGTCAAAAACCACCGGGATGCTGAACTGGTATTTGTTAAATGAAATGCAGTCCTTAATTTATTTTGCCATGAGTGGTTGACAATTAATTTAAAACATAGTTCTGTATATGGTGTTGCCTAGATACCCAGTCCTGCTAAATCTTTTAGTTTTCCTTACAAGAGATCAGTACATGCTTTCTGCGAGCATAGTTGTTTTGATGGACGTTGTCAGAGCTGCCACCAGCGTGTCTTGTGAACTTACCAGACATGCTAGTTCCTGTTACGCCACAAGGAACGTGATGACGCTGGTCAGGGCTCCTTTCTGGGGCTGTGGGAGTACGGCACAGCCTGCTCTTTCAGGCAGGGTTTTTCTAGGTAATACTCCCCTTCTTGGAGATCAGTGTTTCAGCCGACAGCTCCTGCTTCCCTTTAGCCACTGGTTTTGTGTAACAGGCACAAGGGAGGTCTGCTGAGACCTACCAGGCCTAGTCCTATTCATGGGCCTCGACTTGTTTCCCCCCCACTGGCCAACGCAACAAGCAACAGGGTCTTAAAGCTGAACGCAGTGCTCTTCCAGAAAATGACGAATTAGTGCCAATAAATTCTTAATGTGCTTAAAACCACTGAAGTTAATTGTTTTATGCTTTTTTAAATGCAGCAGTTAAATAGTATGAAGACCACCTGGCCTTATTTAATTCAGAGTCACTGCATTTTATTTAGCATTTGAGAATTTCAAGAACTTACTTTCTTTTTTTAAATATGAAAAATATCTCTTTTTTTGTGACATTCCCAATGTTATTTTTAAGATTCTGCTTTGTTTTCAGAATGTTGTATTTAGAATAAAGAATGGCAGTAGTTGCCCAGGGCAACAGCTGCAGTGTACCTGTGTGTATAGCAGGAAAGGGGAAGCACAAATGCTTTATAAATACTGTTTTAACATTTTAAACAGCCTTTGGTGTGATAAATTTTCAAACTCATGTGAACCAGAAGAAAAAATTCTGAGAGACTTAGGTGGCATAAGACAAACTTTTTTCAAAGGCCCGTTCTCAATATTGAAATTTTTGGTACTTTAGAAAACTACATTTTAGGGAGAGAGGATTTTATTTGTTTTATTTTTCAATGAGGTCATTTTAAATGTGATTTCACCTGCCTTAGAAATCTTCATCTTGTATCTGTTGGAAGACTCTCAGCATATCAACATCTAAAGGGCTGGAGTTGAGACCCCATCATTTTTCAAGAGTTTTATCCTCCCTTAACTGGATTGAGACTTTACTAGGGCCCACATTTATAAAGCCATTTTATCATTTTCTCCTGTGGAACAGCACCTGGTGAAACTTTTAAAAGCAGGCTTGTGCACTGACTAGTGTTACGAAAGTCAGTTGGTGAAAGGAACTGGGACACTTGTAGCACCGCAGCAAATGTCGGTGTCTTTGCAAATGCCTAGAGGCCCCAACTGCCTTTAAAATCTGCCTCTTGGGACTTGAGAAGAGAAACTGCATGCACTGCAGGGTTAGTCCTTTAAAACAGTGTCTGAACAGTGATGGTGCCATCATCTGGGGAGGGGGCCCTAAGGGAGTTTAATCAGGATGTAAACAACTTCTGTCCATTCTCCCAACAGTGGGGAAAAATAGAAGGTTATGTGAATGAAAAGAACAATTTGAATTACAAGCAGATTAGTTTTAAGTTCCAGTGTGGTCAGAGTAAGGGAACTACTTCCCCCTAAAAACAAATACAACTTGCATCTTTCAAAGATGTTTTGGTCTAGTAATTAGGTATATATTTTACGCTTGTAACAAAAGAGTATTAGATGTTGAATGCTTTTATAAATCTTTTGAGTTGCAGTAAGTTGGCAAAACCTTATTTTTAATATCTTTAGTATGCTTCAGAACTTTTTTTGTTTGAAATAATATAAACAAAACACACTTCAGAAGTTATGGGACGGATCTGTCATTGGATATTCTAGGTGGATTACGCTGCTGCAGATATCAGAAACAGCACATAATCATGGGGTTACACCAAGCATTGAAGCGTCTTATGATTGACAGTAGCATTTTTTTTAATTCCTTCTCTTTTCTGATAGAGAAGAAATATCCTAAGATGCAAATATTTAATAAAATGCATGCAATGTGTTAGTGCTTCAGGATTTTAAGATTGGGTTTGCTTCATAGTTCACCCTACTATTTGCAACTTATACACTACAGCCTTATGCTACTACACGAGAGTAGAACTGATACTGTATGAAATTGTGGCATGACAAGAGCTTAAAAGCTTTAGCTGTGTCCACCCAAAAAGAAATTGGTTTAATCAGTCATAATGTTAAATATTGTATTGTGTCTTGACTTTTTACCTCAAAATCTTTGGCACATACTTACATTGCTTTGTTAAAATTTTCTTCTAGCACCATGGGGACAGGAAGTTTTTTCCAGACAAAAAAATGAGAGTTTGAGTTGTGTTGAGGAACCTATACAATACAAAATTAGTCTATTAACCATCAGGCATGAAGAAAATAAACTAGATAAATGTATTTGGTTTTTTTTAAAAAGTAAGATTTAAATAATGGGTTGGTAATAAACCAATAACAGCTTAGTGTTTGGCTGAAAGGAGGGGCATGCCATAAGTCAACAGTAATAAATGTCAAAGCGGTTAGCTACTTTGTTTTGGTGTTCTCTCCCAGATCAAAAGTAGTTTTATTTTAAGAATTCAGTCTTAGCTGTAGTTCAGCTGAAACATTAGCTTGATTATCTATTCATTAGCTGCTGAATATTGTTTTATTTAGTTAGCTACAAACTATAATGAATGTCTCATCAAAAAAGAGTACTAAACCTCTGTCCAGATTGTCTTGGATACTGTCTGGTCTCTTTTCGGTTTCACTTAACTACATTCTGTGAGCTGAAGAGCTGTGGCCTGATGCTGCAGTTGCCACTTATGTTCCTGCACTAGCAATATGATATGGTTCCAAAGATGAAATGCTTCAACTTGAGTAGCACCTTTATGAGACCAACAGCTCCGGTTTGTAGAAAGAACACTGTTGTCCATTGATCCTGTAGTGTGCCTGCAGTTTGAAGACAGGCATACCTGCAGTTGTAGAAAGTAAGTTCTGGAACACTTAATGCATTTTTTCAAATTGTTATTTCAAAGGCAACCCACTGAAGGTCGATCGCGTGATGGTGGTTTACGTCTTGGAGAGATGGAACGGGATTGTTTGATAGGTTACGGAGCCAGTATGCTTTTGTTGGAGAGACTGATGATTTCAAGTGATGCCTTTGAAGTGGATGTTTGTGGACAGTGTGGCTTGCTGGGGTACTCTGGCTGGTAAGTTGTTTTTTGTAAATAGTTTTATCCCTTCCTCACTTTGTGCATGTTTCATATTTAAAAAAAAAAAAATCCTTTGACCTCGGGTGTATAAAGCAAAGTGGTACAGAGTAAACCTATCTCTGTAACAGAACCTCGCCCTTGGTTATAGTGCTTCTCAGCTCTAAAGTGCTTACTGATTAACAATCCCACACACCTTTATCAAAACCAGTGTCAATGTTCAGAATTGATATTTGGAAAATTTGCGACAGGGGATGGTTCTTTGTTATGGTATGTTTGAAGTTAGGACTGAAGTGAGTGTGTAGTCGACGGGCCAGGGGTCTCTCCTCTTGTGGGAACACAGGTATTGTCTTCCACAGCCAACTGTGCTTGTGGGAGTGGTTACCTTTGCTCTGTCTGCTGCCTTCCTTCCCAGCCTTGCAGGGGATTAACCAATATGCAATCCTGCCTATCATCTATTTTTGAAGAGGAGAAAATAGCTGTGTCAATGTGCTCGACTCTTCTGGCATCGAAAATGAGGTTACTAGGCTAGTCACAAATCTTCCTGGTACAATCACGTGTTGAACCCCGCAAGGCTAAAGAGAAGGTGGCACAGAAGAATGGGAGAAGAAAGCAACATCTGCCTTCCTATTCTCTAGCTGTGGAGTTCATAATCACGTGCATACAACTCCCAAACATCTTTTGCTTTGTAATCTTTTAAAACAAGGAGCTGCTCTTTGAAACATCAGACAAATGTACCAGTCCCGTTTTGGAGCCTGGGAGACAAGCAGCTCTCTGGTTGGTAATTTATCTGGCTTCTGCCCAGGTGCCTTGTCCATAAGAAACTTATCTCTAGACTAGATAATGGTCTTGCTGCCTTACTCCAGGTTCTAAGCCAGTACTGAGTTTATCTCAAACAAACTGGTTTTCCATGTAGGGGAAGTGTAAAACCAAATGTCAAAACCATGTGGAGATCACCACGTGTGACCCCATGGGCTTTGCTCTAACCACATTTTCTCTACAGTAATTTTGAGATGCTAGATTTAAAGTAGCCCTGTAGCACATGACATCACTATTACTAAAAGACAGGGAAACTTCTTTTTTTGTTCTTCAGAGCTGAGGGAAATGTTTTGCTTTAGCTTCATTTTGGTTTAGGGAGGCAGAAAAAGAGACTTGTGAGACCAGTAGGAATATTTGAGATAAAACATTCTTGCAAGCTTTGCGAAAAAAAATGTGACCTGGGATGCAGTGACTAAAGGAGACAGAAATAAACAGTGTAAGTTCAAGTTACAAGTTACTATAATATTTCTGTCAGGGAAAGATGGGGAGTTGGAAGGAGGAGGAGAAAGATTAGTTTCTGAATACCTCAAAAGAACATTTTTGGAAACTTCCCGCATCTTGGTTATCAGTATCAATCTATTAGGAGAGTCAGGAAATTAGACTTTATGCACTTCAGTGCTTCAAGAGTGGTTTTTCCCTGATACTGCGAAGTAGGAAAGTAAGGTGTGTTCTGCTTGTCAGTGTGTCAAAGCGACAGCTACTGTATCTGCCTTTGGTCAGGCCTTTCTTCTGAAGCCACACAAAGCGTGTGGCTTCTGGCCAGAAACCAAGCTCCACGTTTGTCTGCTAACAGCAGCAGAAGTTAGACAGAGGTAGGTAAACACGTCTGAAATCCAGAGGAGAGATGAGGCCTACTCTGTGCATCCTACTGTGGTCAGTGTTTTCTAGTTGGACATTGTCCTACTGACTTTTGTGTGGTAAGTGTTTTTGAGAGTCCTGTTTTTCTTGAGTGTGTGTACACTATGTAACAAGTGAGGCCTTCTTCTGATCCATGTCTCTTGAAACTACTGCGGTGCGAATAGCAGGCGAAGGAAGGTGGCCGAAAGGAAGGGTGTGCCCTAAGTCAAACCACCACTGTTCGGTCTCTGAGCAACCTTATCTAGTTAAAGATGTCCCTGCTCACTGCAGGCAGGTTGGGCTAGTCATTCTATGCTTCCAACTGTTAAGCACTGCCTTAAAAAAACTCATGTGCAAATGTAGCTCAATTATTTTTTTATAAGACCTTGGCTTTCAGAGCAGTCCTGGAAGATTTTCAGAGGTCACAGGAAGAGAGGGCACCCTGAAGAAAATGAGGAATTTGAACTTTAGAAATAGTATTACATTTTATTTGTAAGTGGTTGTTAATGTATTTCATAATTTGAAGTTTGTAGTATAGTAACTCTTTCTAAAAAACTGTGACAGAAACTACTCCCTCAGACAGAGCCAGACATTCCTGCCATGTGATTCTGTGAAAAGCTGTCTGATGTGTGAGAGTCATCAGTAAGAGGTACTTTCTGCTAAGTGAAACACTATGTCTGCCAGTAGCTGAAGCAAATGGCCCTATAACGAGCATCACAGTAGAGACCAAGTCATTAAGAGAAACTTCCAAATGGGCTTTTTCAGTGATTCTGGTGTTAATAACACACTGCTGCAAGAAGCCTTTTAGAAGCATATTGTTTGGTAGCTAGCATTAATGGCACTTGTCTTAACGAAGATTAGTCCTTCCTCCCAGACAGGGACTAGCCGCTGGATATGTTTTTCTGCAAGATACTAACAGCAAATAAGTGTTTAAACCTGAACTAGTACTTTCACTGGAGAAAGGAGACTGTTGTGACAGTGGCAGAATTTGTCCTTGTAAAAAAAAAATACAGCAGAAACTTACTGTGACATACCAGTTTTATGCAAACTGTCCAGCCTTCCTGTTGTGCAGGTGCTCAGGAGCAGGACTCCACTGAATACAACGAGCAGAATTTCGTCCTTTTTTGATAATAACATGAGAAGTTATTCCCTAGAGTCTCAAAATACTCACAAGGAAAAATTTTGTTCCTGGTCCAGATACCAAGTGTTTTTTCAAGCAATTCATTTTCCATGATCTCTGTTTCACAGAGCTTTGTGCTTACTGCACCTTAACCTTTCTTGGTGATCCCCATCCAAGCACAAAGAAGGCCCAGGGTGGTGTAGCTTTGAGCCTCTGTGTAGTTAGTAGTCTCTGCTTCTCAGTCCCTAGCCGCTGTACTTAGATGCCAGACATCTGCTCCTGGAAGAAGATTGTGCCTCATCAGGCTTCCAGCGCTTGCAAGACTTTCTCTATTGCAAGTAATTACTTGCTCTTTGATCATTGGAAAATGGCTTCCTCCCACCCTAAAAATGTACCTATTCCTATACATTCGGACTAGGGCAGTGTTTATAAACCCGCTACTGAGGTCTATTCTGTTTTAAAGGCACCCCAGCTTTAACGTTTCCCCTATGTAGCAGTATCTACTAGAGAATCCTGTTCCAGGGAAACACCTAGTTCAGTCTATTACCGTCTTACTGCCTATGATCAGATTTAGACAAATCTAAGGCAAATACAGTGTATAAGTGAAGCTTCAGTGGACTGGAGATTAGCAAATGTGACACCTATCTACAAGAAGGGCCAGAAGGAGGATCTGGGGAACTACGCACCTGTCAGTCTGACCTCGGTGCCAGGGAAGGTCATGGAACAAATCGTCTTGAGTCCCATTGCACACCATTTACAGAACAACCAGATGATCAGGCCCAGTAAGCACGACTTCATGAAGCACAGGGCCTGCTTAACAAACCTGATCTTCTATGACACGGTGACCCACTTAGTGGATGAGGGAAAGGATGTGGATGTTGTTTACCTGGACTTCAGTAAAGCCTTCAATACTGTTTGCCACAGCATTCTCATGAAGAAATTGGCTGTCCAAGGCTTGGACGGGCGTACACTCTGTTGGATCCAACCCTGGCTGGATGGCTGGGCCCAGAGAGTGATGGTGAATGTAGTTAAATCCGGTTGGCGGCCGTCACAAGTGGTGTTCCCCAGGGATCAGTGCTGGGGCCAGTTCTGTTTAACATCTTTATCACTGATCTTGATGAGGAGCTTGAGAGCACCCTCAGTAAGTTTGCAGATAACACCAAGTTAGGTGGAAGTGTTAGTCTACTTGAGGGCAGGAAGGCTCTTCAGAGCGACCTGAACAGGCTGGATCGATGGGTTGAGGCCCATTGTATGTGTTTTCAGCAAGACCGAGTGCTGGGTCCTGCACTTGGGTCAGAACCCCTGGCAGCGCTACAGGCTTGGGGAGGAGCGGCTGGGAAGTTGCCCAGGAGAGAGGGATTTGGAAGTGTTCATAGGCGGCCGGCTGAACATGAGCCAGTGGTGTGCCCGGGTGGCCAAGAAGGCCAACGGTGTCCTGGCCTGTATCAGAAATAGTGTGGCCAGCAGAAGTAGAGATCGTGCCCCTGTGCTCAGCAGTGGTGAGGCCAGAGCTTGAGTGCTATGTTCAGTTTTGAGCACCACAGTATAAGAAAGACACTGAGGTGCTGGAGTGGGTCCAGAGAGGGGCAGCAAAGGTGGTGAGGCGTCTTGAGAATAAGTCTTATGAAGAGCGGCTGAGGGAACTGGAGTTGTTTAGTCTGAAGAAAAGGAGTCTGAGCGGAGACCTTACTGCTCTTTACAGCTACCTCAAAGGAGGTTGTAGAGAAGTGGGTGTCAGTCTCTTCTCGCAAGTTACAACCAATAGGACAAGAGGAAATGGCCTCAAGTTATTCTAGGGAGGATTTAGATTAGACATTAGGAGAAACTTCTACACCAAAAGAGTTATCAAAAACTGGAACAGGCTGCCCAGGGAAGTGGTTGAATCACCATCCTTGGATGTGTTTAAAAGCCGTCTAGATACAGTGCTCAGAGACATGGTTTAGAAGTGGGCCTGGTGGAGTTAGATAATGGTTGTACTTGATGATTTTAAGGGTCTTTTCGAACCAAAATGATTCTATGATTCACTCCTTATCATGAACTCCAGAAATGTAATTAAGGCTTCTGTACTATTAGTTGAAAGCTTTCTTGGTGTAAAAATTAAAAATAAGTATCCCAAGTATGCATTTAGAGGTCAAGGCAACCACAATTTTCAGAGAAAATAACCAGCTCTTCAACATGCTCTTTAAGTATGTCAGTAAAAGAGAAGTAGCAGAGTCTGAAAAAGTAAGTGGAAGACTAATGCCAACTCTCATAACCAAGAACCTTATTAACATTAAACAACTTCATTGGACCTGTCCCCATTGACTTCCACATGCTCTAGGTCAAGCTCACTGGAAACAGAAACAAGTGACGAAGCATTGGCTCGGTTGTAAATGTTGACTCTCAGCCTCATTCTACAAAAGCATGTAGAAATTTTGCTGATTCTTCCTTAATTAGATCTTCAGACAGTTATGATTTTATGCCAGAAATATAAATTTGAAACACAGAAGCAAAAAAAAGAGAGCTTTTTTAGGTAGTGCTGAGTTAGTCTGTGTTTGCAAAGGCCTAGCTTTCTTAACTCTCCAAAACCAGAAGATAGAATATCCAGGAGAATAAGGAAATTGGAAACTAGTATTTATAAGAAAGTTTTTAAATTTCCCTTGTGTGTACACAGAGTATGAAATTAAGTAATTTAAACAGTTGCTGCACCACTAAATTTGAGTCCTGATACTGGAAATAATTTTAAGATCATTGTTTGACTAAAGAATGCAATGAAATATGTTAAAGCATTTTTTTCTGATTTCCCACCTTGACTAAAGCGTTAGCCGTTCACACAGAGAGAGAAGTAAGATGAGAGATGCCTCTTTTCTGGAATATGCACTGATTTGAGATATTAGAGATATTACTGAGATACAAGGAAAAACCCTTATGTGTGAACCTTCTTTCTTCCTAATTCTTTTTTGTAACGTATGTATAAGACAGAAACTGGACCATTAACTATGTTTTCAGAAATACTTCGCTTTGTTCACCTCCTTTCATTACACAGTACTGAATTTGTGTTGGCAGTTATGTGAATGGTGAAGTAGAAGTCAGTCCTGTCAGCTACTGAGCATCGTGATTTGCCTCCAATAAAAGTGCCGGTTTATTAAGCTCCTATTGCCTTCAGTCAGGTTATTTAAGGGCTGAAAGTTACGACTTACTTCAGTGCTAAAATGTATCTCGAGCATTTGACTCTTTCTAGGGCTGAGTGCAGTGTTTAAATGCAAATAGACCAAAAAACCAATGGGTAGTGGCAACTGTTTGGGTTTTTTTTCTGCAGAGCTTCCTTTATGCACTAACTCTGACTTTCTTTCTGTTTCCCTAGGTGCCACTACTGCAAATCATCATGCCATGTGTCTTCTCTGCGCATACCTTATGCCTGTAAACTCTTATTCCAAGAACTACAGTCAATGAATATCATACCTAGGCTAAAACTAGCAAAGTACAATGAATGATGAAGATGAAAAAGATGGGAAAATGTACTTCATAGAACTTGAAATCCAGCTTATACAACTGGGAGATTTTTTCTAGTGAATGGGAATAACTCTAAAAGCTGAGTAGGTAGAAGGGAGGTCCAAGACAGTGTAAGAAACCTTTCTTACATATCCTACCTGATTTTAAGTTGACGGGGGAGTCTCTGTCAGTCAGTTACACTAGGAGCAGTTCTGAAAGCCTTAGTTAGTCTGAGTGAACAGGACGTGTGGGAATTGTGGAATAAGGTCATGATCCAGCAAAGCACTTGCACCACTTCAGACAACCCCGTGCTTGGTTTTGAAAAGTGCTGTGCTGGACTAGGGCTAAATACACATCTTATTCATAGCAGTTAAATATGTTTTCCAGACCAGTGTAATATGAAAGACTAATAAATGTTTTAAATAATACTGCCTGAATATGTGTTGATGGTTGTGTAATAATAATACTGCCTGTAATAAGAATACTGCCTGAATATGTGTTGGTGGTTGTGTAAGGGTGGTAAAGCCTTCTTAAAACATCTAAACCATTTTCCTATTCCTAAAGCATTTTGTTAAAGCATTAAAATGTCATTAAGTCATCTCAAGCTTAGAGAAATGAAACTACCTTTTCAAGAACTTGAAATCAGATGTTTTAACTGGTATTTCAACGTGCAGGTGAGTTTGTGTGCAGCCAGTGGTGTGATTGTACAGTCAGTCCGCTTTCAGCTGAATGTATACAGTTTCCATGAAGTCCAGAGGAGGTGACTGTGTATGCAGCAAGTGCATGATACAGCTTACAGATATCCATTCAGTTCCCACTGGAGTATAGTAGCCCCGAAAAGATGGGCTACAGGCACTAGGTACTGAAGTGTGCTGTCCTAGGTCTTTAGAACTTATCTTAAATATGGGCATAGCTGAAACCTTTTAAGAACATAACAAAGAACTGTGAAGAACAACAGATCCTCCACTGACATTGAAGGAGGTTTGAATCTGAGAGGATTTAGAAAGGGAGCAGACCTTTTTTCCTAACATCTAAAGCCTAGAACTAAAGCAGTGAATGAACTACTAGTGACTTAGTACCCTAAACTCATTTGAGCCCTTTCTCAACAAAGCATACGGTAAAACTGTTTAAGCAAAGGAGTGGTCCTGCTGAAGTCCAGATGAAGCGTGTGCATGTTCAGGTGCTTCAGAGAAAGGCAGCACTCTAGATCAGCAAGGATGCAGAACACTGCCTGTGATCTGAAAGTCCTGACATGGCTGAACTGTGCATGCCGGTCCCGAGGCTGCACTTGCAGTCATGTTGCTCATGTTCTCTTAGCTGCTTAAAAAGCATAGGTGAGTATCGGCCTGAGTAACCCTGCTTTTTAAGCTTCTGCCAAAATGCTTATACTAGTAGTTTTTTGTCTGGGCTAACAAATCAAGTCTGAAGGGATAGATTTTACTTTTTTTTTTTCAGTTGGACTACTGACAGCACAGCACATTGGGATTGGAAAACCTCTGAACAGCACAGGATCTGAACAGCACGGGTTTATTGACAAAAAGTTATAAGGAACACCGTACTCCTTCACACTAGAAGAGGTTGACCAAAAGCCCCAACTGAATTAACCTTTGCTTTGCTCCTGGAGCTTGCCCAGCTAAGGCTGGGGTGCACCAGCAGAGGGAGTGAGCCTCACAGGCTACAGCCTGCTGGGGGGGCGGGAGTTTGACCTGGATCAAGGGAAACTGCACCGAGGATAAGGTGTTCCTCCTAGTTAGTCCTCTCTTAAGTGCTCTCCTAGGTTAGATGGTCAGAGCTACAGGACGTTAAAGACTAAGCAGTGTGTGCAATTGCACCTGCAGAAATTTAAGCAGACGTAGCAAGGATGGAGGAGTAGCAAAGGAGTGTGCTCATGCGTAACTCTGGTGAAAGGACAGGTCTGTGTGCAGCCCTGAGGGGTAACCTTGCAGCTACTTTACCTCAAGCTGATGAAAGGTTTTGTGAGGATGAAGGAAATCCTCTGCAATAGCTGAAGTTTAGGTAGAAGGAGGCGGTCTTCGCAATGATGGATCCTGTAAAATGTAGAAACGAGACGTATCTGGCAGTAAGTGAGGGTCATCCACTATCAGCTAATCTGGTGATACCTACATCAGTTCCGTGTACACATCACTGCTGTCTATCCTAACCCTGTGCACACACTGGAGGCTTATTTGAGTGCAGATTTCTGTTGAAACTCTTACTTTTTGCCTCTCTTTAAGAGGCTAGCTATGTTCTGTTGTTAATAGACACCTGCAAGTAATCTCTCAGTGACGGAACAAGCATTACAAAAGCAGCAGCAGAAATGGAAGAAACAGCTATGGGTTCCTGGAACATGGTTGGTCAAAGTAGCAATTCAAGAAAGGAATCCTACTACAACCAGGAAACATTATGATGTGTAGACTGATGAGGTAAAATGCATTTTCAGAACCCCAGAGGTGACACATGGCTTTCTGATGAGCCTCATCTTTGCAGCCCTTTGAATTATCTTCCTAGACAATCTCCCCTCCCCCTTTCTTTTTATATAGGGAATGCCTTCACAAAGAGGTCTTGCGTCAGCTAAGGGCTGTACTGCTGTAGCTAGACTTGTCCAAATCAACCCTGCCATGACTGTCTAATTGCTGAAAGAGGTACAATATTCTCAACAGCACCTGACAAAACCTTAAGGCTTTAGCACAAGGAACTGTGGCTAGAAAACTGCCGTGAAGGTTTCATTCCAGTGCAACTTCTTTCTGTCTTGTATTTAGTGTCCTGGAGATGCTTTCTAGAAATGCTATTCAGCATGAAGGTCACCAGCGTTAGTCCCAGCTGAAATGCTCCATACAGTCCGCTCTCTGAGGTAAGCTAGAGGTGTGTGCTGCTGTTGGAAGAGATACCTGACTTTGTATGGCATGTTTAAGTTGCCGTTTACTTTGCAGGTAAAGGATTAAACGCTATTAAAAGGTAGAAGCATTTACAGGCATTTACAGCATTTACAGTAATCAAGTTATTATTTTACCATAAAACAAAGAGATTGATTAAAAGCTACCTCTTTAAACAATATACGTGTCCAGCTCTACTCTTCTGTTGTGAGAAACAGAATCAGATTGGGTCTGGGCTGCACTATGTTACGGAGCAGAGCAAAGTGCAGGTCTTACAGCCAGTTCTGGACCTGTAGGCAAGGTGGGTCACTTGGTCAGAAAAGCAGTTTCACTTCAAATCATTTACATAACCCTTAGAAGTTGGTTAGTTAGTTGTTGTGGTTTTTTTTTTTTCCTGGGATGAATGTTTTCAAACATAGAAACTAGAAAAAGAAACTATAAAGAAAAATTAAGCCAGACTGGCCAGTTTTGGTGTTCAAAGAGGATGTAATATGAACTATAGACACACTGAGATGTAACTGTTTTAAGATGTGGAAAGTAAAGGGCTCTCACTAAGCACAATTTTTTTTTTCCTGTCCATATCTCATTAAAAGAGTTTTGCTTAGAGAGAAGCTTCCGTGTGCAGCAAAGAGTTTTTAATTCTTTGGACTCCCTACTTCCTTGTTGCTTAAAAAGGGAGGAATACCAATGAAAAACATAGACCCATGATGATGAGAAATTACTTTGTGCCTTTTCTCAGGTTTCTTGATGGTAAATAGAAAAATAGCTGTGGTTTATAGCCAAATGGGAATATGTCATAATCAAAAGCTTAAGAAGACTGAAGAAAAGCCTGTAGGAGGCTGAGGGGAGACCTTATCATTCTCTACAACTACCTGAAAGCAGATTGTAGAGAGATGAGGATCAGTCTCTTCAACCAAGTAACAAGTGATAGGACAAGAGGAAATGTCTTCAAGTTGCACCAAGGGAACTTTAGATTGGATATTAGGAAGAATTTCTTTACTGAAGGGTTTATCAGGCATTGGAATGGGTTGCCCAGGGCAGTGGTTAGCTCCCCATCCCTGGAGGTATTTAAGAGTCACATCGTGCTTTGGGCTATGGTTTAGTCGAGGACTTGTTAGTGTTAGGTTAATGGTTGGACTCGATGATCTTAAAGCTCTTTTCCAATCTGGGCAATTCTGTGATTCTGTGTGTGATTCTGTGAATATTTCATAGTGGTGTGATAGTAAATGGCAAACTGGTGAATAGTGCTGTGCATCTGGAAATGGGTTTGCAAGCCCTGCTCATAACACACCTGTAAAGCCTGATGGCAAGAGTAACTGGCATCGCACAGCTGTAAAAGCAAACTAGAGGGCTAGAAGCGTGTGTGTACTTCACCTCTAGTCTCTTGAGGGCTAGGATGGCCCTAGTGTGAGGAAGCACAAGCCCCAAAATGACCTACCTGGCCTGCAGCCCTCCTGCGGTGACCCAGAGGAGCAGCGTGGGGAGCATGAGCCCTCCTTGGCTGTCTCCTGGCTGTAGCAAAGAGCTGGCTCAACCCTGCCAAAGGCCCCTGCAGCCGGTCTCGCCTCCGGTTGTTGCTGAGGATTGTTTCACAGCCCATTGCTGATTCAGCGTGGCCATGGGGCACTTGATGAATTCCCTCCTCCAAAGAGGACATGACTTGCCCAGGGCCACAGAAAGACCGTGCCAGAACTGGGATCAGGACTCTGCAGTCCCCAGGTGCCAGACACGTGCTTGCCTTTAAACTGAGCACTTCATCAAACCGTAAAATCCAGCCAGATGGTGACTCTTTGCTATTATCTAGACCAGCGCTGGGAGGCTTAACGTGTGCAAGGCACGGCGAAGATCTGGATTCCAGTTTCTGTGTCTAAGGCTCAGAAACCCAGAAAATGGATGCATGTTTTAGACCTAAATGCTGCTAGAAAGCTGAGCGCATTTGAACACAAGTTCTGATTTTGGCCCATCTTGCTCATGAAGTGTTTCCTTCTCAGCCTGGACACACCAGTTTTTGTGGGGGAGTTCTTTCTTTGAGAAGAGGTGGAGAGGCACAGGAGAAAGGACTGGCTACTTCAACCTACGCAGCCCTAGGCAGACTCTTTTCTTCTAGGTAGCCAAAACTGCATGAATTGGCCAGTGAATCAGTTTTGCCTCTCAGCAATCATTTAAGAACTCACTGTATTGACCCTGGAGGCAAATACACCCTCTCTACCTTACGTATGTATCAACATACGCCCCAGAACACTAGAACTCTCAGTTAAACTCTCCAAACCCAGGTTAGAGCCAATACAGAGATATTTTTTTTTGCAGTTGGAATTTTTAAAAAGCTGTTTATATGGCTTTATTTCTGTCTTGTAGTCAACAGCAAAGGTTTCTGTTTGATAACCCATGAAACAACTTGGGCCT